TTCCTGCTGCAGTACGTGGGTAACTCTTCGATCCTTAAGCTTTCTGCTTTCAGATATTGTAAATGCAAAAGCAAGAGCTCAACCAGCAGCATGACAGTTACGCTTCTGGAGAGTGAGTTGGGTGAGAGGGCTGAGTGCAGTGTTAAAAGGGCTGAATGCATCATGTAATAGTGTGACCTTTCTTTCCTCCCAGTGTACCGGTGTTGAAACACGAAGATTATTTTCTGAGGACACCAGTGAACAAAATTTCCAGAGCACCAGGGAGCAGTGGTGGGAGCAGTTCAGGGAAGAAAATGGTTGGTTTTGGTGCAAACATGGAAAATGGGCGAGCCCCTCTGATGCAAACCAAAAGGGAAGGCACCAAGTCAAAGAAAGGTAAGGGCTAGCATACTGTATCACAGGGCCATGAGTGTGCTGATGGCATTTAGAAATTGTATATAAGTGTTCAAGAGCATATCAATAAAATGCAGAATTCGTGGGAGAGGATTGCAATTTGCTTAAAACAAGCCAAGAGAACGTAGCTACATTTAGTCATAAAAACATAGAGAGCCCTGTAAATAACAAGTGATCTTCTTGGTTGGTTTTCCTGATGGAAGGGAAAAAATAGCCTTTTAATCTCAAAAAGCTACTTCAACAATTCTTTTTCCTTTCCCAGCGAGCAGAGATTAAGTGCAGTGGGGCTTGCTCTCGGAATGCAATGTTCTTCACATTCTTTTCCTCCCCAAATAATGGCTCCACCATCACAACCTGATATTTTGCCCCACAGGGATGTTTGTAGAGCTAGAATCTATCCCGCTCTTAGGACCTCCACTTAGCTTAGTACCTCCACTTAAGACAGGCTGCTTCTCTCTCTGCCCCTTAGGTAGAGGAAGGGTTGGGAACAAAAGCAGCTTGGATGTTTTGCTGGCCGAGCCTTGAACATAATCCTTGGTTCAATTATGAGCTAGCTTTTTTTTTTTTTTATTTTAACTTGTCAGCCAGTTTGCTGTATATGTCAGCATAAAAATAAAGAAAATGGCAAAATGAGAAGAAATGTGGTACAATTCTCAAAGGAACAAATAACTTGTGTTATTGGTTAAGACCGTACCAACATTAAAAAGCAGTCCCTGTGAAGAAACTTTCAAAAGGGTATCATCAGCCTGGACCCAAACGGTGGCTGAGGTTAATCTCTTCCAAGGCACAGCTACAAAAGTTGGAAGCCTGTAAAGGGCTTGTGTCCAAAAAAATCAATTTCTAATTTGAAACAAAATCATTTTTGACTAACAGGGGTTCAGGACCCATTACTTTTGCTGTATAGTCTGCTGACATTTCACACTTTCTGTTGTGCACAATGAATCCTAATAGTCATTTTATAACATTGCTACACCAATCAATTTAAGCAAGAGAAAGCCGTTACAATTCTGCAAAGTTTCAGGGGCAATTTTCACTGATGGTGTTCTTTTATGTTTTTTTCAGCTATCATTATTTTTTTCTTCTCTTTTCCTCTTCCTTCTCCCCCCTCCTTCTCAATACTGTAGTGATGAAATTGAGATTTTTCACAGTTGGATGATGGGTTTTGTTCCTTGGATAGGGATAGTCCCCAAAAAGTAATTTATTTTCCATAGATTCGGGGGAAAAAAAATCCAACCTGACCTCTCCTTCGTTCATTCATTTCATTTTGTAGTACTTAGGAGAAGTTACATGCTGCACCTGGCTATTGCATGTAGCAACTGAGCTGCACCTATGCTGATACAGTGATTGTAGTGGTCAGCATAATGTCTGAAGATGGTGGTTATCTTTCGCAAACACTTAGTGGGATTGCTAGCTTTGAAGATGTAGAGCATGGCAAAATTTAACTTATAAACATTGGCACTTGCTGTGATACCAGATAAAGTTCAGAGAAATGCTTTCAAGCTGTGGAACAACCTCAGGTCTATTACTGATTTGAATGGCTTGTTTATCACAAGGCAAATTACCTAGCACTAATCACTGAAGTTGAAGTCTTCTGTATTTAGTACCTTTTTAATTGGCTTCCCTCTGTTATATGTTTGGACTCCTTTAACAAGCACACACACATAGTTGTAACGTGTTTTTCCCGTCTTTGACGATCACCAGGGCACAGTGTCAAGTTTCTGAATTCGAGTTAGCTCTGGACGTAGCTGTCTCTGTCCTTGCTTCTGCTGGATCTTCCCATCTGTTGCTGACCTGGGTTTTCGGCTTCAGAATTTATTCTTTTATTAGGAAGCAATTCTGTAGCATCTCACAAAAATGAAATGAGGGATGCTGTCCTGGTTCCGGCAGGGATGGGGTTAATCTCCCCAGGAGCCGGCAGGGGGCAGGTATTCCATCCCATGTGACCCATGCCCGAGCTATAAGAGGAGCTAGCTGGGGCAAGGAGAGGAGTCGCCACTCGGGGGTGGGCTGCGGCGGTGCGGTGCGGTCGGTGCGCTTCGCGGCGGTACTGTAATCGCGTTTTCTTCTTCAGGATGGAGAGACTCTCCAAGCACACCTTAGTGCAGTGCCAGTGCAGATGCAGACCTTTGGGCTCACTGTATAATCTCACTGTACTGGGAATGGTGGGTGTATCTGGGGGACAGTGCAACTCATGATAGTGTCTCTCCACAGCAACGTAGGCAGTTGTGCCAGATTTTGATGTTCTCTTGTTCAACTACCCTTGTCGTCTTAGATTTTTTTTTTTTTTTTTGAGAAGGTAAAATGATTAATCTGGAAACCATTTCCATGCTGAAATGGTGGAAGGCTTTATGGCCCATGGGACTGGGCACTTACTGTAAGTGCGGTGAGTTATGAAAGGGTGATTTCCTAGTAAACCCACGTTTCCTTTCTCCCTGCAGATGTTTAATAATGGGGAGAAGAGCATTGTTAACCTGGTCCCATCACCTTGTGGAATGAAAGGGGCACTTCTGCTCTTTTTTTCAGGGTAGAAGCTTACTGGATCAGCTTAGGCAATCAGCTTTTATTCTCTCACTGTTGCTTTTTTGTCTCCTATTTCTGTTTGCTCCTTATTTTTTATTCCTGTGCTTTAGCAGGTGTTTGTGTCTCATAGCCAAACTTTTTTAGTTTTACCAGCAAAACTTTAAGCAGACGAAGCAATCCTCGGCTCCTAGATCTTTTCAGCAGTAAATTGTTTTTATTGGTGTCACCAGCAGCTATGTCAATTTGTACTAAAATCTAACAACTTGTCTAGTTAAAAAGCACTGGAGTACAGAAATGTGTTTTTCTCTTCCTTTCTGCCCTGGAAAATTCTGCTTTTGGGCTGGGAAACCAAACTAGATCCTATCCATTGCATTATGCAATATTGGGAACTTTACTTCTCTACATTTCTGTTTTCTTCCTCTTCACACCCTTCCTGAAATATCTCTGCATTGAAACAAAGAAGGAACTAGTTTTCCCTTTGTGTGTCTTTGGGGACAGAGCCATCTGCATGATATTGTATAGCGTGCCTAGCTTTTTTTTCCGTATGTAAAAGAAAAAGCCGGAGAAGGCAAATTATTTTAGCTCATAGAATCCGTACTTTTCCAGGGGCTGATTTTTCTGTATAGTGTTTGTTTTTCAGTAGGTTTTCTAATGTAGCTTCTTAGGGATTCAGGATCCGGAACTTCCCTTGAGGGAAGACTCTTCCCTCAATCGAATAGAGCAATTAGTTAATATTAGTGAAGCGCTTTGAAGATGTGAAGTACTATATAAATGTTAAGTATTATGAGTATTAGTATTATTCAATTCATAAAGGTTTCTTTTATGATTATCAACCTAGATTTCCCTCTGCTTACTTTTATCCCATTACTGCTTGAACCAGCCTCAACTGTATTTCTTCATTCTTTGTGTTTACACTTTCAAAATGTACTCTGCTGTATTTCCACACTTTCTTCATGTTTTAGTTATTTGTTTCTCAAGCAGAAATATACGGCTATTTGAATTTTCTCAAATGAGTCTTTAATCTACTTTAAATCGTTCTTGAACCAAGTTAACCAAATTGAAAACAGTATTCTTAACATTACCATTTAGAAGACATCTATAATTGCTTTGGGGGTAGCTTGCCTTGCAAGCTTGAATCTAGTTTGTTTTTTGATATTGTTTGCTACTCCAGGTTCTCTCCATTGGTGTCATGGTTTGCATTAGCTCGCCATATCTGAGCCTTTTTTTTTTTTTTCTTTCAAGGGTGAATGTGTCTATTCTTTTTCCATGTTTCTTGCTTCTCTCAATCATCTGCAAGGTCTCCAGTCTCATAATGTCTTCCAACACCTGCAAATCTAATTAATTTGCTGTCATTTGTATCACCCCAGTTCTCTATGACTTTTCATAAATAATTACCAGTCACTTCATAAATTCATTAACTAATTCCCTTTAGCCCTGAAATATATATGCTTCAGACTAAAGAATTTGTACCTTTTTTTTTTCCCTGATAATTTCTTTTCATCAGCTTTACATAGGCAGGTATTATACATCAACATGGTCTTCATTATCTCCTACTTGCTAATATTCCTTTTTTTTTTTTTTTTTTTCTCATAGTATATTTTAAAATTATTAGTAGCTTGGTCATTTTAGAATCATTATTGATTTAATCTTGTTTGTATATTCATAAAACTGCTTGCTCTTTGGTGTTTCTTTTCCCTCAGTTACTTGCATGCCTTTTTCAAGATGTATTTTTAAACATTTTTTTGTTTATATAGGCACTTATACATGATTTCTTGCTATCCCTGCTTTATGTCTGTGCAGTCTAACAGCCTCAGTATATTCCTACTTAGTTCCTTTTCTTGTTTTCCATTTCTAGCCCTGGTAATATTTTGAAGCTTGGGTCTTTGAACAACACGCTTGAGGCTGTATGGACCGCTTCTGAGTCCATATATTTTCTTTTTCTGAGAAATACGTCTACTTTGCTGTGAATGTACTATGTTGACAGAGTGCCAGCCTTTTCTCATATTAGGAATTGAATGTATTCTCCCATGCTTACCACGTTTTTATTACTTCAGTATTAGTTTCTTAAAATCTAGCAGGCTCATTCCACTATCAGGTGAAAAGATTTCTAAATATCCCGTATTCCATCATAAAGACAAAAGTCTAAGCAAGAGGCTTCCAGTCCCCTGCATGCGTACCCACTCTTCTCATCATAGATTGGCTCACTATCAAGTTTCCAGGGACACATAATCAACATATAGCCCCATGACATTTCTAAGCATTCTTTCACTGATAATTAACTCTTTGTTAGGTGAGATTTTTTTCACTGCATGATACTGAAGCACAATTCATTATAGCAGAGTGATAAGTACCCTTCTTTTTTTTTTTTTTTTTGCTAGCCTCCCTAGAATACACCTTAAAACCTTGGGGTTTACTGTATTGTATATATTTGTAAACCTCTTAAGTCAATGCAATATTTTAAATAATCTTAATCTCTTGGATGTCTATAAATTTTGCACTGAGGCTGGAATTACAACCTTGTGTTGCTTCATGTTTCAGCATGGATGTAGATAATGTTGCTGTTCACAGAGCTGAGAAATATTTAGGCATGACAGGATTGCTTAGAGAGCTAAACACTGACTTGACTTTAATTTTTGTTGAGACTTGTAGTTTTCTTTATATTTTCTGTTTAGTTAAGTGGTGTTGATTGGACAGACCTAATTAGGCTAGATCAAAAAAGCCCAAACCCACAGGCTTTTGTGGGGTAGATCAGATTAATCCTAATTTGCCTGCCCCACCTCCTTCTGACTACCTGTATGCAAGTGGTCTAAGTAAATCCAATCTATAAAACCCAATTCTCAGGTGGGTGGGTGAAAAGTGGAAAATGGGTGGAAAATTGGCTGGGCCATCAGCCTCAAAGGGTTGTCATCAGTCTAGCTGACAGCTGGTTGCTAGTGGTTAAGTGCTTAACATTAACAACCCAGACAGCGGGACAGGATGCACCTTCAAGAATTTGCAGACGACACCAACTGGGAAGCAGTCAGTATGCTGGAGGGTAGGGTCCAGTATTCAAGGGACCTTAACAGGCTGTGAAAATGGTTTGATGGAGACCTGTGTAGGTTCAACAAAGGGAAATGCCAGTTCCTTCAACTGGGTTGGACCTATCTCATGTAACAGGACCACCTGGGTGCTGACCTAGAAAGAAGTTTTGCCAGAAGAGAACTGGGTGACCTTCTGAACAGCAAGTTGAGTACGCGTCAGCAGTGTGCCTGCGTGATGGAGTACCCAAAACTCATACTGGGCCATAATAGCAAGATTGAGGTTATCAGGTTGATGAAGTTACACTTACCCTCTGATAAGTGGTGAGACAGTGTCTGTAGAGTGCTGTGTGCAGTTTGGGGCTCCACAGTGCAAGGAGAGCTTTGGCAAACTGTAGGAAGTCTAGCAGAGGCAGCCAGGACATTCAGGGGGCTGGAGCATATGACGTACTGGGAGAGCCTGAGAAAACTGGGTGCCTTCAGCCTTAAGAAGAGGCAGTTCAGCACAGATCTTCCTGCTTTCTTCAGCTACCTAAGGAGAGGGTGTAGAGAAGAGGGAATGAGTTTGTTCTTGGAAGTCATCAGCAACAGAGCAAGAGATAACGGGGAAAAGTTACAACTCAGGAAATTCTGATTAGCTATAGTGGAGGCATTCAGTACCTAACTGGACAAGTGATCTAGTTGGCCCTGCTTTGAATGGAGGATTGGACTACATGACCTCCAGACTTCACCTTTCAACTTAGATTATTTTGTAACTCAGGAGTTATTGGGAGGAGGGGAGAAGGAATGGATTAAGAACTCTATTTTCCTGAAAGCAAAATACTGTTACAGTGATATTTACACTTGGAAAACTAACATCTTGTAGCATGTCATGAGAACTGCATCTGTGAAACAAGCTGAATCCTGTGGACCACTGTAAGAAAAGATAACAGTGCAAGTCTGTCAAACTTTGGGCAGTAAGATGGAGGCTGTAGAGTGTGACTTATTCTACGGATTTGATTCTCTGTGATCCTGAAATGCATGCTGTGCACAGTACTGTCAGCTGCTGAGTTCTTTGATTGCCATTTCACTGTATATATTGCACTCCAAAAATGTTGCAATTTTTAGTCCCAGTGTTCTGTAATGATGCAGAATCACAAAACATCTGTCCAAAACTTACTAGCCCCTGATGTCTGGCTTGTCTTCACTTTATTCCACAGGGACAACTTCAGGACCTAGGAAGGATGCAGCCACATCTCCTGTGCTGGTAGGCAGCAGCAATAGACCTGCAACCGCGGCCACATCACCAATCCGGCATGACACTTCACGGTAAGACACTAGGTAATCTCTGGTTTAAGATTCTGCAAACACAACCATCAAATTCTCCTAGATGCAGGGAAGTAGCTGAATTTCTATGATATTTCGTGTTAGCACAAGCTGGATAATATAAACTAAAAACTGCCATATCCTTTTGACATTTATAGTAAGACTTAAATTGCTTGTTAGAATAAGAAAAGCGGGAATATGCCAAGTTCTAACATTTTAATGTTACTTAGATTTTGAACAGAAAGCATTTTATGTTCCAAGACCTGACACATTAAATACATTTGTAAATAATTTGAATGGATGGTGTTAACCCCTGTTAGGTTTTAAGTCCACTTGAAGATTTTAATCCCCCTGTATTCGCCCCCACCCCCATACTTTATCAAATGGCATTTCTTTTAAAATGTTTTGTACCAGGGTTATTTTATGTTTAATGACAAGCAACAAAATCACATTAAGTCAGCAATTCCTGATTATACTATATATCTGCACTAAATGCACTGGAAAAGGAGCATTATCACTTCTGCTCCAATGAAGAAACAGAAAGCAGTATCATTGTTACACTTATGAGTCTAAAAACAACTTGCCTTCTTTAGGCAGGATTACAATTCTAGCAGTAAGTACCTAGAAAAACAGTATACAATCCTTGCTTTTCCCTATGATATCCCAAATTTTCTCATGATAAAGTCTCTAGTTAAGTAACAAAGTAGATGCAGATTGAAGTACAAATTTGCTGTATTTTACACCGCTAGTTAGATGACTTTGTGCAGTGGGATGACAAGAATGTACGGCCGTTCATAAGAAGAGTTAAATGTTTCTTGGAGAAGAAGAGGGCTTGAGTCAGATTTAATCTTCTCTTGGCCCAGTGGACTAGGAAAATGTATGCTTGATATCATCCCTGTATTCTTGGCAGCAGCTGGCAGTTTATTTCTATCTTCTGAGAGAACTTGCGATACATAATAGGTGAAAAACCACTATCAATATTGACAAATTTGTACTTACTTGCTATGGAAACACTTTTTTTTTTTTTCTCATGAAGGAAGAGATCATAATTCTAGGAGGATTTAAGAACTGAGATAGATTGGACTCTGTTTCCCACAAGTAACTATATGTTTAAACAAGCAGAAACCACAAGATTGCATAAGCATTTCTCTTAGAAGCAAGGGTTACCTTTGCAAGCCGGTAATATCAGATAAAGAGTGTGTAAAGATACTGCTTTATACTGTCTAATAGTGATAAGTTGAGATTCCATTTAAGCACTGAGGAGTAGATGTAATTATTCACATCATACAACAACTGCTCAGAAAAAGGAATTTTATTCAAGAGGATTGATGGTCCGTTCTTCTCCAGAAAGGGGAGTCAAATATTTGTTGAAATAGGCTGTTAGAAATCATATCACATAAAGTGATCAGTGTCACCCTTAAAGGTTTATTTTACCAGTTGATGCCAAATTTTGAAAAATTCTGTGTTTCTGGGGTGCCCTCTCCCATGCTTGTTTGCTTTCTTTCTCTTTGTTGGTGCTGTAAGTATAATTGAACAGGTTAAGCAGCCATGTTGTGCTTTCCCTTACTCATGGCCTTCTCTAATTGAAAATGGTAAACGGACAAGTATTTCTGTGGGGACCCAAAGCTGATCCTATCCTTCATCAAAAATCCTGCTTGGGCAGCAGGTCAGTCTCAATTTATCACTGAATTGTTATAAGCTTAGACTGCAGGTTTAACTAACAAAATTAATCAATATTGAGAATTATTGCTGCTTTTGTGCCACTAAAGTTAGGGTTTGTCAGCATGTTCGTTATAATCTGTGATTTGGGGGGGGGGGGGGGTTACAAGCTTACCAAGGTGAACAGCTTAACCACAACAGTTGGCATGGGCCTGAAACTTGCAGCACAAAGCCCTAGCCTAAGAGAAAATTTATTTATTCGGCAGTACGTGTAAACCTAATTACTTCTGACTTTTTAAATTTATAGGACTAGATTCAACTCATGTTTGTGCCAGCTTTAACTAGCACAAACCCTGGCACCCGGCAGTAGCAGCAGCGGAAAGCCTGCCAGGGAGAAGGTGTTGGAAAGCGACAGAAGCTCCCTGCCAGCGCGAGGCATCGGGGTGCTCGCGCGGCTTCTGGGGAGGGCTGGCTGGATAAGCAGGCATGGCAGGTAGAAGATGCGTTGGCTTGATGGTCTGTCTTGGCAGGGCTCAGCTGGAGGCTTCAGTGTGCTACAGCTGCCTCCTGCTTAAGGGAGGAATCGCTGCAGTCCTACTTTCTTCTCCCTCTCAGAATGAATGATGTCTGGGACAAGAAGTAAGCGTCCCTAGAATGTAAAGATGTATGCTCTGAGAGCCTTAGTGCTAGACTTGTAGAAGGACCAGGCTTGCAGAACGAAGGTGCACAAGGTGGTTTAAGTGACATCTTTGAAGGAAAAATAGCATTTCTTTATCTGGGCTAATAGTGGATTTGTTTGCCCATCATGCTTCTATGCATGCCTGTCGCTGCTTTTCGTAATACAGCCAAACGTTGCATATTTGGTTATCCAGTGTTCCTAAGCCAAGTGTCTATACCTGCCTGAGCTCCTTGAAATTATGTTCACAGATTTTTCTACTCCGTGTGCTTATTTATCTAGACCAAAACTGATGTCCTTGGAGGAAAAAAAAAATCACAGACAAGGTTGGGGCTGGGCAAATGTGGAAGAGTAACTTTGTTCCTTACCCCTAAACATAGTTCCTCTGATGATCTTAAACATTACCTTTTTGGTGACCAGGGACATCTTTTTCGTAACTGTTAGCCTAGAAGAAAAACGCTGGTGCTTGGCTGTGAGCTGGAAAGGAGCTGGAAAGGGGAGGTAGGGACATTTGTTTGCTTTCATTTGGTAATGAAGAAGTTTTTACATAAACTAGATCTTACCTCAGATGTAATCAGGTACCAATTTCAGCAAAACAAGTGTTGTGTTGCAAAACAGAAATGAAACTGCCCTAAATCAAAGTATTAAGCTATTCTTTTTTATATAAAAAAAAAAAAATGTTGCAAATTGTGCCTTGTGAAAGACCATTTAATTTGATTACAGCCCTGGTGCAATTGTCAGGCTCGCCCCACGCAGAAACAGTTGCAGTGTCGAGTTTGGCACAGTAAGTCCTATAACACTGCAGATAATCAAGCACTTAAAAAGACACAGGCAAAGGTTGTTCTGCTCACCATGGAAACAGATAATTCTCCTGTAACATTTTTCACTTTGGGCATCTAAGAAGTGTATTTAAGAACAGTTAGGTAAATTAAGGGATTGAGTGATAGCCTGGGATTTCGGCATTAAGCCTGTGTTTTCTTGTTGCAGTAAAATCAGAGCTTTAATGCTAGCTGAATGCATTGTCTTGGAGTGAAGTTTCTTGTAGCCATTAAAATAAGTGATTTAGAAGTCCTTGCAATATGAATACCATATTCGAGCTATATTACTATCTGTTAGACTGCGGTGGCCTGTTGGAGGTTTTTATAAACAGATTGTATTGTGTAAATTTGTGTTTAGGGACGTTTTAAAAATGAAACTATTTACCCAATTGCCCAGCACATCTCAGGTGAATGTGTGTTCAGGGACTTTTAAGCAAATTAATATCTGATGTAAAATATAATGTGCAGAGTTGTATACTTAATAATGCACACTGGAATAGTCTAGAGTAGGTCTGTTATGCTGAGTATTAGGAAATACGACAGTGATGAGATTTAAGCTTTTGCCTTACTTGCCTGGTAGTTGCCTTTCAGATCTGTGCATGTTGGAGGCTTAAATATGGTTCTGCTCTTAAGACAATACTATGTAGTTCCTTCTCCTCTAGAGTCTAAGCAAGCACTGCCAAAAAAAATACATTTCTCCCCCGCCTCCACCCTTAGGATCAGACACCATTCAAGTTTCAAAAGGAGAGCGAGGAGGCAAAAACCTCCATTCTGGTTCTAACTTAAGAATACTTAAAGGGATTTAAAGTGTTTTTGGAGTAGGGTGGTGAGTTAGGTGCTGAACATGGTAGGAGACGCAAGTTTTGCCTACTCCCGGAGAAAGCCAGCAGCACAAAAAGTCCAATATAGTTCCATATGCAAGTGATAAAACCAGACGTTGGCAAATTAATCTCTCTTATTCACAGTGTAGGTTGTTAATTGTTCTCTCTGCTGGCTGTCGATTTAATGTGAAATTTTCATTCCCCATTCAAGATGGAAAAAGTTGTGGCTGAAAATGTTAACATTTGCATTTTTATTTGTTGATTTATTTAAAGGACAGCCTCTCTTACAGCAATCCATCACTCAGTGACACCCCAAATATGAATAATGTATTGTAGACTTGCGGTTACAATGTGTAATAAGTGCCAGAGACAGTAGAAGAATGTTAACTATGTTGCAAATGTAATATTTATCGACTCATAGTTTATTGCTTTCGAGGTTCAATAATACTGACCATAGGACATTAATATCACTTATCTTGATTTTAGTTGGGCACCTCTGTATGTAGAAATAACCCATCTATCTCATACTTACAAAATAAATGTGAATTTTACAGTGCTTTGTAAGAAGTGCATTATAGGTTTCTTTGCTTAGTGCTCACAATTCTCCTTTTCTGCCTTCTCATTTACTTACATATGACATTGATCCCACTGTAATTGCCTGACCCAGATGGTGAGCACCTCAGCACTCCTGTAGAGACTTTATTTACTGGCTGCGTTATGATCTTGTGCCTCTGATGGTGTTTGGACCAGGTCTCTCTTCCTGTTAAAGACCCCTATGAAAAGAGACTGTAGGATAGTTTTCTAGTGCTTCTGTCTGAAAAGATGATGGCTGAGAGGCTAAAACAGAGATAACTTCTCTTTTGGAAAGGCGTGCATAGCATATCTGAATCATCTCTCTTTTAGAGGATTGTGGCTATCAGAAATAGAAGTCTTTAATTAGGTCAACAGTTGTTATTATAGACTTGGCATTCATTTTACAGAGAAAATTTTGATCAATGAATACTAATATATTAGAGCCATTTTGGCAGATTAGGATTTAAAATTCAGTGCTTTTAGAACAAAAATTTTCTTGATTACGTAAGAAAAAAACAATTGCAATAAGGCTGTGCTACGGTAGCAAATCCATCAGTAATAATCTTGCCTATCTTCAGTACTTGCTCCAGAGTTTTGCTTCAGAAACTGACTCAGGCTGGGCAAACACTACTCCCTTTCTACGCTGTTCAGTTACGATCACTAAAAGCTTTGAAATCTCAGGGGTGAAAAGCAGATGTGAACCCGGGACCGGGATCAAAACCAAATTTAACAATGGGAGTTTTCAAGCCTGTGTTGAAATCAGATTTCACCTGTGAAGCCTGGCTCTTGGGAAACTTGGAATTGGGTTCAGCCATGAAAATGATAAGCCTTGATTATATTTCGTGTTGTAGACATAAAGTAAATTTTGAAATGGCATTCTGTATTTACATTGGAGGTTATCAAATTTAACACGTCATCAGCTTCTTTTTCTTTACTGTGTGTAACAGAAACACCTATTTGTGTCAAAGCAGCCAACCTAATAGCTGCTTTGTGATAACAGTTTTGGTGTGTCCATTGCTGACAATGAAAATCATACCGGGAAATTCTGACTTGCAGTGCGAAAGGATTAATGTTAATTAGCAACTGTTGGCTGTAATTGTCACCCTCATTAAAATGCAGAATTATGTATTTCTTAGTTATAAATAACCTTTCTAATTGTGCTTGATGTATGCCAGTTTAATCAAAAAGTACACTTGCAAACAGGCAGATATTTGCATTAATCTAGCACGGGATCTTTGAGTCTTTTTTGATCGTCTTTTATTCCAAAGTTGACTAGTTGGGGGAGGTCTATTACAGCTACATATCCTTTACACATTTTTTTTTTCCCAGCTCTGTGGATCTGACAGGATTTTGTATTAAAATGAGGGGAAATGTCTTCTGGGAATGTTCAGTGCAACAGAAAATGTGTCAGTTTTGAAGTAGTTGGCAAGGTTTCCATCATTCGGTGGTATGACAATAACTTGATTGTAGTTTGAAAGTAATAATAAGCAAAGGAAAATAGAGTACAAATCATATTATGAAGCTGACTTAACTCTTTAAGTCTGCTTCTTATTATCATTTTCATTGTTATCTTAATTAGGTTTTTTTACATTTTTTTGCCCCCAGTGGTTTTGCAGGTTCTGAAATACCATGTTAAATCTTAAGTGAACGTTAGTTCACTAGATGTGATTTTCTGTTTTCACTTGTATTCACAGCAATGAAAAATTAGTCTCAAAATATTTTTCTGAAAAAATATTTTTTTAAAGTATTTTCAGTTTTTTTCTGTGCTTTGCTTTACTTCTTTGTCAAAAAAAATGATTTGACTGTCTTTTCTTCCTCCACTGATACTTTTAGTGCTCTGCGTTGTAGCTTTTAAAC